CCATCATCACTGTCACACTGTCACCTGACCCCATCACCTCCTCCACCATCATCATCACTGTCACACTGTCACCTGACCCCATCACCACCACCTCCACCATCACTGTCACACTGTCACCTGACCCGTCACCACCTCCACCATCATCACTGTCACACTGTCACCTGACCCTGTCACCACCTCCACCATCATCACTGTCACACTGTCACCTGACCCCGTCACCTCCTCCATCATCACTGTCACACTGTCACCTGACCCCATCACCACCTCCACCATCATCACTGTCACCTGACCCCGTCACCACCACCACCATCATCACTGTCACACTGTCACCTGACCCCGTCACCACCTCCACCATCATCACTGTCACACTGTCACCTGACTTGTCACCACCACCACCATCATCACTGTCACACTGTCACCTGACCCCATCACCACCTCCACCATCATCACTGTCACACTGTCACCTGACCCCATCACCTCCTCCACCATCATCATCACTGTCACACTGTCACCTGACCCTGTCACCACCTCCACCATCATCACTGTCACACTGTTACCTGACCCCATCACCACCACCTCCATCATCACTGTCACACTGTCACCTGACCCCGTCACCACCTCCACCATCATCATCACTGTCACACTGTCACCTGACCCCGTCACCTCCTCCACCATCATCATTGTCACACTGTCACCTGACCCCGTCACCACCTCCACCATCATCATCACTGTCACACTGTCACCTGACCCCGTCACCTCCTCCACCATCATCATTGTCACACTGTCACCTGACCCCGTCACCACCTCCACCATCATCACTGTCACACTGTCACCTGACCCCATCACCTCCTCCACCATCATCACTGTCACACTGTCACCTGACCCTGTCACCACCTCCACCATCATCACTGTCACACTGTCACCTGACCCCATCACCACCTCCACCATCATCACTGTCACACTGTCACCTGACCCCGTCACCACCTCCATCATCACTGTCACACTGTCACCTGACCCCATCACCTCCTCCACCATCATCACTGTCACACTGTCACCTGACCCCGTCACCTCCTCCACCATCACTGTCACACTGTCACCTGACCCTGTCACCAACTCCACCATCATCACTGTCACACTGTCACCTGGCCCCGTCACCACCTCCACCATCATCCCTGTCACACTGTCACCTGACCCGTCACCACCACCACCATCATCACTATCACACTGTAACCTGACCCCGTCACCTCCTCCATCATCACTGTCACACTGTCACCTGACCCTGTCACCTCCTCCACCATCATCACTGTCACACTGTCACCTGACCCTGTCACCACCTCCATCATCACTGTCACACTGTCACTTGAACCCATCACCACCTCCTCCACCATCATCACTGTCACACTGTCACCTGACCCCGTCACCACCTGCACCATCATCACTGTCATACTGTCACCTGACCCCATCACCACCTCCACCATCATCACTGTCACACTGTCACCTGACTCGTCACCACCTCCACCATCATCACTGTCACACTGTCACCTGACCCTGTCACCACCTCCACCATCATCACTGTCACACTGTCACCTGACCCGTCACCACCTCCACCATCATCACTGTCACACTGTCACCTGACCCTGTCACCACCTCCACCATCATCACTGTCACACTGTCACCTGACCCCGTCACCTCCTCCATCATCACTGTCACACTGTCACCTGACCCGTCACCACCACCACCATCATCACTGTCACACTGTCACCTGACCCCGTCACCACCACCTCCATCATCATCACTGTCACACTGTCACCTGACCCTGTCACCTCCTCCACCATCATCACTGTCACACTGTCACCTGACCCTGTCACCACCTCCATCATCACTGTCACACTGTCACTTGAACCCATCACCACCTCCTCCACCATCATCACTGTCACACTGTCACCTGACCCCGTCACCACCTGCACCATCATCACTGTCATACTGTCACCTGACCCCATCACCACCTCCACCATCATCACTGTCACACTGTCACCTGACCCGTCACCACCACCACCATCATCACTGTCACACTATCACCTGACCCCATCACCACCTCCATCATCACTGTCACACTGTCACCTGACCCTGTCACCACCTCCTCCATCATCACTGTCACACTGTCACCTGACCCGTCACCACCACCACCATCATCACTGTCACACTGTCACCTGACCCCGTCACCTCCTCCATCATCACTGTCACACTGTCACCTGACCCGTCACCACCACCACCATCATCACTGTCACACTTTCACCTGACCCCGTCACCTCCTCCACCATCATCACTGTCACACTGTCACCTGACCCCGTCACCACCTCCACCATCATCACTGTCACACTGTCACCTGACCCTGTAACCTCCTCCACCATCATCACTGTCACACTGTCACCTGACCCTGTCACCTCCTCCACCACCATCATCACTGTCACACTGTCACCTGACCCCGTCACCACCTCCACCATCATCACTGTCACAATGTCACCTGACCCCGTCACCTCCTCCACCATCACTGTCACACTGTCACCTGACCCTGTCACCAACTCCACCATCATCACTGTCACACTGTCACCTGACCCCGTCACTACATCCACCATCATCACTGTCACACTGTCACCTGACCCGTCACCACCACCACCATCATCACTATCACACTGTCACCTGACCCCGTCACCTCCTCCGTCATCACTGTCACACTGTCACCTGACCCCGTCACCACGTCCACCATCATAACTGTCACACTGTCACCTGACCCGTCACCACCACCACCATCATCACTGTCACACTGTCACCTGACCCCATCACCTCCTCCATCATCACTGTCACACTGTCACCTGACCCCGTCACCTCCTCCACCATCATCACTGTCACACTGTCACCTGAGCCTGTCACCACCTCCACCATCATCACTGTCACACTGTCACCTGACCCCGTCACCTCCTCCATCATCACTGTCACACTGTCACCTGACCCCATCACCACCTCCACCATCATCACTGTCACCTGACCCCGTCACCACCACCACCATCATCACTGTCACACTGTCACCTGACCCCATCACCACCACCACCATCATCACTGTCACACTGTCACCTGACCCCATCACCATCTCCATCATCACTGTCACACTGTCACCTGACCCTGTCACCTCCTCCATCATCACTGTCACACTGTCACCTGACCCCATCACCACCTCCATCATCATTGTCACACTGTCACCTGACCCCATCACCACCACCACCATCATCACTGTCACACTGTCACCTGACCCCATCACCACCTCCACCATCATCACTGTCACACTGTCACCTGACCCCATCACCACCTCCACCATCACTGTCACACTGTCACCTGACCCTGTCACCTCCTCCACCATCATCACTGTCACACTGTCACCTGACCCCGTCACCTCCTCCACCATCATCACTGTCACACTGTCACCTGACCCGTCACCACCACCACCATCACTGTCACACTGTCACCTGACCCCATCACCACCTCCACCATCATCACTGTCACACTGTCACCTGACCCCATCACCACCTCCACCATCATCACTGTCACACTGTCACCTGACCCCGTCACCTCCACCATCATCACTGTCACACTGTCACCTGACCCCGTCACCTCCTCCACCATCATCACTGTCACACTGTCACCTGACCCCGTCACCTCCTCCACCATCATCACTGTCACTGTCACCTGACCCCGTCACCTCCTCCTCCACCATCATCACTGTCACACTGTCACCTGACCCCATCACCACCTCCACCATCATCACCGTCACACTGTCACCTGACCCCGTCACCTCCTCCACCATCATCACTGTCACACTGTCACCTGACCCATCACCACCTCCATCATCACTGTCACACTGTCACCTGACCCCATCACCACCTCCACCATCATCACTGTCACACTGTCACCTGACCCGTCACCTCCTCCATCATCATCACTGTCACTGTCACCTGACCCTGTCACCAACTCCACCATCATCACTGTCACTGTCACCCCATCACTAGCTCCACTGTTATCACTGTCCCTGTGACTCTGTCACCTGACTCCTGCCACCACCGCTGTGGTTCTTGGGAATCCAGAGTCATACAGGTGTAGCAGGGGCCACTGCTGAGCCTCGGATGCCCGGCCAAGGCCCTGACGAGCTGTGGGAGCCTCAGCGTGCTGAATGAGCTCCCTGTGGGTCCCCCACTTCCTCGGGGGGCCGTGTCAGCACTGTCTGTCCTGTAGCTCTGAGACATCATGCTGGCCACAGTACTGGTTGAAGGAGGTGCTTTGAAAACCATCAGAGCTGGAGTTCAGAGCCTCTGAGCCCCAACCCCAGGAAGAGAAAGGGCCCCAAGGGAGGAGCAGTGGGCAATCTGCCCTTGGATGGGACAGCGATTGCGGGGTCACCAGAAGGGCTGGTCATGTGCCCCTTTCCTACCAGCCCATCGACCTCCTGCTGGCCTCAGGCGGCGGCCGATGAAGAGCAGTCACCATCCGGAAGCAGCCAAGCCTCCGCTCAGCCCCTGGGGCGGCGGCCGGCGCCCAGTGACCTTGAGCTCACCCTCCCTGCTCCCAGCTGCTCAGTGGGGCTGGACTGGACACAGGTGGGCCTGGAGACGCCACAGATCTGCATAGAGATGAGGGCCCAGCCCCCTGAGCCTGCAGCTGCCCCTCGCCAGCTCCTACGCACACGTCCCTCACTGCCGCTCTGTGGCCCACACGCCCCAGCAGGCCTGCAGAGGTCGACTGTCCCTGCTGCTCCGCACAGCCCGAGGGCGGCGTGAGCAGAGGTTTCAGGCCCAGGCCAGCTCCTGCGTTGGAGCAGCTGTCCTGCAGGCTCACGCGTGAGGATGTGCGGGGGCGCAGGCCGCCCGGGAGCCCCAGGCGGGCAAGGGGAAGGTGCCTCGTGTGCCCAGAGGCGTGAGGACCGCCCCCGCAGGACCCCCGGCGGCACCCACCTCCACACGGACACGTAGATGATGACCAGCATGAGCAGGGTGAGCGAGGACACGCCGCAGCCCACGATCAGCGTCACCGACGGCACGGCGGCCTTCTCCATGGTCTGGAACCAGAAGAGACGCGGGAGTGAGACACCGCCCGCATGTCCACGCCGCGTGAAGGGGGGGGCCCGGCCAAGGCCATGCGCGTCCCCAGGGTCCCGGCCCTCCTGCCAGCCCGCCAGCCCGGCACCTGAGCTGGGCCGGGCCTGAGGGAGGGTGACCCCCACTCTGCGGTTACAGCCATCCACCCGGTTCCACCTCCTCACAGCCCTGCCGCTTCAGAGAGACGCTGCCACACCCCATCACAGCCAGGCCTGGGCAGGCAGCTCTCGAGAGTGCTCGGGTCCCAGCCAGAGCCTGCCCCTTCCCCACCGCCAGCCTTGACCACCCTCTCACCACTCGCCAGAGCTCTCTTCTTTCCTCCCACCCTCTGCTCCGGCTGGGGCCTCGGTATATCTCTATCGTTGCTCCCCTCCTGTGTGGCTTGGAGTCCCCCCCCCCCAACTTGCTGCAAAGGCCCTGGGGTGGCCTCTTTCCTCCTACCCCCAGCCCTGTTGCTGGAGCTCACTCCTCCACTCCCATGGGGCTGCTGCCTCTGCCGCTCCGGCCTCAGCTCGTCCTGCTTGGCATGGGCCAGGCTGATGCTCCCCCTTTGCCCACCCCGCGTGGGCCAGACTGGCAGGCCCTCCCCTACCTCCTACCTCCCAGCTCCGCCGGAGCTGCCAAGCTCCTCTCAGCTTATGCAAGGATGTGCTCACACGCCGAGCGTGGAGCGCACAGCAGAGCGCCAGGGCCCAGCCCACAGCCCACAGCCCACACCTGGAGCTTCGGGTGTCCCAGGCCACGGGGAAGCCAGGCTCAGGAGGAAAAGCAGCAGCATCCTCCCTCCCAGCTGGATTCCCAGCCGGATGACGGCCTTGGGAAGGGGGCCCAGGCAGCATGCCCCTCAACCCCATGCTGGTGCCCAGCTGCCCCCTATGTCTGACTCACCGGCTGTCCCCCAAGCAGCCCCCAGCCCTGCTCAGGAGCCCACCACACAAACGAGGACCCACTCACCCACTCCTCCCAGGAAGATGGTGTACCGGGGGCCTGCACTGTCCTTCCTACAGCCTGCTCCGCCCCTCTGGGCCACCCCAAGATGCAGGCCCCACCCTGCCAGGGCCGCCTGGCCCCCGAGGCCCAGCCCCAGTGGGCACCGCTGTCACTGAGGGTGACGGCAGGGTCCAGGGCAGCGTCCTGGCACGCTGAGGAGTCCCAGGCCACCCGGGGGATAAGGGTCCTGGAGGCACCCCCGCTGGGGACCCAGCTCCAGCACGGGCCCACACTGGACTCCCACGTGCAGAGCTGGGGGCCGGGGCGAGAATGGGGAGGGGCTGCGGCAGGACCCAGCCAGGGGGAGGGGAGATGGGCTCTGCCCTCCCGAAAACCTCAGTGCCCACCAGCCGGCTCTGGCCCCTGCCCGGAGGCTGCAGCGCAGGGCGGGCACACAGAGGTGACACCACATATCCCCAACAAAGCGGCACCCCTCCTCTCGGGGCCCCAGCACCTGGGGCTCAGGACCCCATGGGGCCACCTCTGTGCTGACCGTTCATCCGCAGAGCCTCTGGCCTTGGCGGGACCTGCCCTCCGAGGGTGGAGAGACGCAGCCTGTCTCCCCTGCCCCTCACCCCTCCAGGACATGGGCGGCCTGAGACGGCCCACCTGCTTGGTGTGGCACAGCCAGACACCTGACCTGCCTACACCCGTACCCGAGCCACATATACACCTGGCACAAATGCGCCAGGCACCAGCCCAGGGCCCCCCGAGCCCAGCCCACGCCTCACACATGCTGGGCAGCGTGGCTCCCGTCTACTCCTCTAGAAGGAGGTGATGCTGGAAAGCAGGCAGCCCCCCCCACCCCCACCCACCGTCCTAGGCCTCTGAGCTCAGCCGCAGAGTCACGTGACCAGCTAGAGGGTGGTACCCTCTGTGATGGCACGCTCTGACGGCAACGCGGCCGGGTGGACACCTGCTAGGTACCGCGCCGCACCGTGGCGGGCCTCTGGGGCCGGATCCTCCACCCCGTGTGCCCTCACCCAGGAGAAACGGAGGCCCAGCCTGGGAGGAGGCCGGTGGACAGGGACATGTTATGGGCAGCAGATATTCCAAGGCCACGGGCAGGTCGCAGGTGGCCGAGCAAGTGGCTTGTGCTGGTGCCGTGGTTGGCTCCAGTCCCGGTTTCCACAGCCATCTGCCTGTCTGCCCTCGACAGGTCTGGCAGCTCGCACGCCCGTCCACCCGCTGTCATGGATCGCTCCGGACAGTCCCTGCCCAGCCCAGCATGGTGTGGAGGGGACTGGTGGCAGCCTGCAGCTCAGGGTGATCAGAACTCCAACCGGATGGGAAAGGCAAGACCGTAAAGCTAAAGAGCAAGAGACAGACAGTCCCAACTTCCATGGGAAGGAGCAGAACCTGGCCAGAGCTCGGCAGGAGAGCAGCTCCCATGCCAAGCTCAGTGCTGCCCCGGGGCCTTTGCACAGACCGCTCCTGCTGCTCAGTACCCTTCTCCTGACCTTCCTGGGAACTCTTCCCTCAGCCGAGAAGTTCACTACCTCCTAGAGGACCTCAAAACACCACGAGAGCCAGATTTCAGGCTCTGGGCCCCAGTGCCTGCCCTTGGTCACTCTGGTCCTGGTCATCTCCCCCCCCCTTCCCTGTTTGCTGTTGAGTTACTGCTGGTTTCTGCCCCTGAACTCCCTACTGAGGTCCTCTGTGGAACTGTGCACGGCCCTGGCCCCTGAGGAGTGACTTCGGCCCTGCCGTCCCCACACCAGCTGAGGACCCAAAATGCTCCACACACTCCCCGAAACCCCAAGTCCCAGACACAGCCACAGATGAAACCACGGACGTGGCCCAGGCGCCGGGTGCCGGGCTGAAGACCCCGGCCGCGTCCCGGCTGGGCGGGCCGGCCACCTGCGGACAGCCGCACCGACACCGCGCGGATGCCCATGCAGGCGCGTCGGCCGCCCAGGCACCCTGCACGCCCCCACGCCCGGCTCTCCCACTCAGGTGTGACTCATGACTCAGAGCAGCTACTCACCTTCCGCAGTCCCGGCCCGCAGCCTCAGCCCACACCCTGGCGCGGGGCCAGCCCCGGGCGCTCCGCGGCCCTGGGGCACCTCGCCTCCACTGCCATCTCAGAGCCTCGTCTGGGTGGTGGTCCCGGGGAAGACCCCTTGACGAGCACTGCCGCCTGCCCGCCCACCCAGCCCCTCACCTACCTCCTGTGGCCGGGCCTTCCTCTGCTACCATCCTGTGGCCCTCAGGATGGACGGGAGCCCTCCCTCGGCTGGGCCCTTGCCAGTACGGCCTGCTCCGCCTCTCCTGACCCCGAGCCCCACACCTGACTCCCATGTTCTGTCCTCGACAGCTGGTGACTTTGTCACCTCCCTGGATAGCTGGGGTTGGCTGGTGAACTCACGCACATTCCTCAGAACCCTGCTCTGAGTGTGCATGTGCGCTCGCATGCACACGCATGCACACACACGCACACACACTCCCAGGACCCAGCTCTGAGCCTCCCCATGCACACACTCTCCTGTAAACTCCTCCCAAGGGGAAGGAGGCTGCCTGCAGCTCCCCATCCTCCCCTCCTGCAGCCTGGCTACCCCTGGCTTGAGCATCGACGAGCCCAGCCGGGGGCGGTGTAGGGGGTGGCGCAGGGGGTGGCGCGGGGTCTCACATGAGCCTCCAGGATTCAGAGCGGTCAGTGCTGGGGGTGTCACACAGGTCAGGGGCCTGCTAGGCGGCCGCAGGTCTCATCTGCCCCCAGGGCCAGCATGGGTGGGAGGGAGGGGAAGGGAGCCAGGGCACAGGGGGCCGGTGAGCTGCTGAGCTCCAGGTGGAGGCCGAGCCCCCGGTTCCCCTCCCAGCCCCCTCGGCACTCAGGCCCAGGAACCCACAGCCTAGCTAGACGACCACCCCTTACAGATGAGGGGCCGAGGCTCGGGGGGCTGGCGGACAGCCTCTGGTTGGAGGCTGGTGTGTGGCTGAGGCCTTGACTGTCCTGTGTAGGATTTGGGGCCAGGGTCCCAACACCCAGCACACAAGCCTCTGTGACCGCCAGCCTGGTACTGGAAGCCCCAGGAGAGCCCTGACCCCCGCCACATGAAGCCGACTCAGCTGCATCTGTCCCTCCCTGAGGAGCAGCCTCCTCTCTCCTGCGGGTGGCTGGCACCCTCGGCTTTGCCTGGAGGCCCCGGGACTGAGCCCACCACTCTCCCCAGTGGCATGAGCGCATGACGCGGCCACCACACCTTCTGGGACTCAGCCCGGGCCCACAGTGCTCCTCCCGAAAACCTCTGAGACATGGGTCTCCACCAGGGAGACCCAGGCTCAGGGGGAGGGAATGCCAGCCGGGGTCACAGTGTATAAGGGACAAGCCTGTATCGCTACTGCCCAGTGCTGACCTATTACAGCCTGACCCTTACCTGGGAGAAGGGGACCCGGGACAGAACCTCCATTCTCCCTCTGTGCTCCTGCTCATGCACCCTAAGGAAGAGCTGCTCCTAGGGGCAGCCTGGCCCTGTGTGGTCCATGCGGTCCAGCTCGCCTGCAAGGACCTGGGGGGGGGCATGCGGCGGCAGCCTGCTGCCTTCATGTGTGCCATCTACATGGAGCCTCTGGGGTGGGCCCTGAGGAGGCCGGGAATGTGCAGCCCTGCTCTGCCCACTCACACCAAACCCTCCAGGCCCCTCCTGGGCCTCTGCTCCCCACCTGCCCTCCAAGTTCCATGGCAGTGACTTACAGGCCCCTCTGGCTCTGACCCACCAGCACCTCCAAAAGGGCACGACTTGCTCTCCCCACTCTTCAGAGAGGAGGAGGGAGGGCCGGCCACCCCGAGGCTGGAGCTTCAGCTCTGGGAGGGCCCAGCCACAGCACCCCACAGCCAAGGACGGGGTCCTGTGCGGGTTGGCCCTGCCGGCGCCCCAGGCCCGGCAGAGGGAGGGTGAACCCCCAGCTGCTGCCCCGCAGGGGCCGGGGCGCCCCGGCCGCTGGTCCTGTCCCATGGGCCAGCCCGGCCCCCAGGCCCTGCCGGCTGGCCGCCCTGGATGCGTCACCATGGAAACCGGCAGCCCCCACAAGAATCACAGGAACAAAAAGGAGGCCCCGGAGATAGTGGGGCCCGCCTGGGGACTTGGGCCGGGCCCAGCAGCCTCAGCCACCCCCGGAGCCCTGCCTGGGAACGCGGGGTGGGGGGGCACGGCCACCTCCGCTCACCAAGGCTCCACTGAAGGTGGTGCAGCACCCGGGGCCGGGAGAAGCAGGCAGCGGCTTCCCCGGCCGGGCAGGTGCCCCCAGTGTGGGGGTGCAGCCCGGTGCCTCCCGGCCCGGCCCCGGGGCGCCCCGGCCGCCCCCCACCTTCTCCCCGCAGGGCCTGCGCCTCCAAAGTCCCCGCGCTGCAAGGAGAGGCGGCCATCACTTCCCGGGGTCCCCCCTCGGCGCGGCGGGCCGGCCTCCCCGCGGCCCCCCCCCCCCCCCCCGCGTCCCCGCGCCCGCCCCCCCCCCCCCCCCCCCCCCCCCGCCCGGTCGGGGTCTCACCGCGTCGGCGCTGAGCTGGGCTAAGATGGCGAAGGTGGAGAGCCGGTCACAGAGGCAGCGCGTCCGGAGGGCGTCGAGGGGCACCGTGCGGCAGCCGCGCCACGACCAGGGCCCGAGCGGCGGCGGGGGCGCGGGGGAGGAGGGTCTGGGCGCGGACACGGGAGACAGCGGCGTCAGCGGCGGGCCCGGCCCCCCGCGCCGCCGCCCCGGCCCGGCCCGCCGCCCGCGCCCGCGCCCGCGGCCCCGGCGCCCAGGGCCGCGCTCCGCGCCGCCCGCCCGCCCGCCCGCCCCGCCGCGCGCCGGAGCCCGCGGGAGCGCGGGGCGCGGGAGCGGCGGGAGGCGGGCGCTGGCCCCGCGCCCGGCCCCGCCGAGCCCCGGAGCCCGGGACACGCCCGCGGGGGCGCGGGGCGGGGGCGCGGCGGCGCGGGGCGGCCTGGCCTCCCCCGGCCGGCCGGTGACCTTGGGCCCCGCCGCGCCCCCGCCGCCCCGAGCGCCCCTCGGCGGGCCGCCGTCCCCGGACCCCCCCACCCCGCCGGGTGTCCGGCCAGGTCCCCGGGGGCGCCCGGAGCGGAAGGGCTCCGCCAGCCCCTCCTCCCGGCGCCGGCGCCAGCGCCGCCAGCCCCCCAGGCAGCCCGGGCCGCACAGACACTTCCCAGCCTGGGATGGGAACCGGCCTGCCGGGGGCCGGGCAGCCGGGCCGGGTCCCTGCGGAGCCCACCGCCCCGGGCTGCCTGACGGAGGAGGCCTGGCAGGAGCCCCCTGTCCGTGGGCCTGCCCCTCCCTGGGCAGAGCCTGGGTCTCCTCCGCATCCCACCGGGGAAGGTGGCTGAAGCTGCTCCTCCGGGCAGCCCACCCTTGCTGCACCCGCCGGCTGGGAAGCCGCAGCCCCAACAGGCCTTGTCCGGTTGTACTGTGGACAGGCGCTGTCCAGCTGCTGATTCCAGAATTGCTGCAAGCCTGGCCTGAGAAGGGCTTGCCGGAAGCATGAGGGCTGCCTCCGAACCTCAGTACCTACCCTCCCCGACTTGGTTCCCTCATCTGTCCAGGGGAGGGGGCCCCCGGGGCACAGGGGCCGCGCTGAGCAGAAAGCCTGAACGCCCATCTCTCTATGCGCTCTGGGTGGCTACACTGCGCTCGGGGTCAGGTCTGGGGAGAAGGGACCCTGGAATACCTTAGCACCTGCAATCCTCCACTTCCCTGCTCCAGACCAGAACCACAGCTGTGGGGGCAAGGTGGCAGGGCCTGGCCTGGGCTCTGCGGAGTTGGCTCCCGGTTAGTGACTCCAGGAAATTCTGCCCACCCTGAAGTCAGTACATGGCTCTGGCCTCCACTGCTGGAGGCCAGGACTCCTCCCAGTGAGGGCCCTCTCTGTCTACAGAAACAGTACAAAGTACGTGGAAGAACAGATGGAAGGCCCCAGGTCACTTTGGCTCCCAGGTTGCCTCTGAGGCTGTCCCATCCTGACCTCACAAGCCCTCAGTGTCAACCACAGCCCCCACCTGGGGGCCTGCCACCGGCACAGCACAGGACACCCAGTCACAACCTGGGCAGAGACATTCAAGACATCCCTAAAGGAGACTGTGGGTCCTCTGACCACAGATGGACAGAGCTGGGCAACATGGGGCATGGGACCCTGGAGAGCCCCCAAGCTCCAAGTGGTCCCCTGACCTCCACAGTGAGAACTTTGCCAAGGTGCCCTCTCCATCTCCCTGTCCCCTGCACCCCACCGGTCAGAGCCATCGAGCCCTGCTGACTGCAGCGTCCTGAGGCATGGATGGCCGGCTGTCAGTACGGTCACAAAGCACCAGCAAGGCCTGTGCTCCAGGAACACCCCACGTGCTGCACGGCCCATGGGGGGGGGGCGGCATTTCAGAGAGTAACTCTGGAGCCACACAATGCTGGGGCCATGGCCCAGCCCTGCCAGCCCTCCTGCTCTGAGCACTCAACTTGTCCCAGCTGCCCGGGGGCTGTGGGAAGACTGAGTCGCGACAGCACCTTGAGCCAGGGTGAGAGGAGCTGGGCTGGTGGAGGGAGCTGGCAGTTTGGCAGGTTCCCAGCCACACCGGCAGGTCCACAGGGCGCCAGGTTCACAGCTGCTGGTCCCTACCTGGGAGACTGCCAGCCTGGTGCTTGGCCCCCAGGCTGCTGCGGGGCCATCAGTTATCTCCTCAGCCTCCCGTAGGCCAAAGAGGCTCTGCCATCCACCTGCTGCAAGGCCGTGGAGGACAGACGCCCCCCACCGCTCCAAGAACGGCTGGCCGGGCTGGCAAGGGCAGGTGGGCAGCACTGCCTAGAAGAGGACAGGATGGGGGCCCAGCTTCAGCCTCCTCCTCTCCCTGGCACCCCAGTGTACAGTCCTGAGCAGGGACCAGCTCCTCACCCGCCCACACACCCCCAATAATAAACAGCTTCCTTCCTGCACAGAGACCTTCCCCGCCGCCCGTTCCCAGCAGCACTCAGATCGGCTTTGTAGATGAAGGACTTGGGGCCCCGGCAAGCCGCCGTTGTCCAAGGCCACACAGCAAGACAGCAGCGGGGCCTAGATTCCAGCTCTGCTCCACTTAGCCACCCCACCCCCGGCACATCTACAGCTGAACCCCAACTGGACAAGATCTAAAGGGATCATCAAGGCAGCCTGCAACTGGGACAGCGTGGGAATCAGAGATGGGCACTGAACGGCCTGGCCCATCCAAGCCAGAACCGGTACGGGAAGACTTACCACGGGTCACCGGGGCCTTTCTAGCAGCCCCCGACTGGGCTAGGGAAAGTCTTCGTGCAAGATGTGGGGTGGGGGAGGGTCGCCACATGAGGCTGTCTGTGTGCATCTGAGACACACGGTCATGTGGAGCCAGTCAGAAACCCTGAGGGCTCTCTTCTACTCAAGTCCTGACAAATATCTGGAAGCTCTCCCCTCGTCTGACTGCAATCCTTCCTGCGGCCCGGGGCGCCGTTCCCACCTTTGCAATGCAGGCAGGTCAGCCAGCTCCTGCACGTGGGAGACCATTTGCTGCCTCTCGTCTGGGTTACAGAAAACTTGCACTATCTGGGTCACAGAGCCAGGTTCCCCCTCCTGCGCCCAGAACCCAGGAAATCTGGGTCAGTCACACTTGATCCCTGGCTCAGTGGCTTCAGGAAAGGAGAAGTCAGGGGGCAGTGACACGCTCAGAACCAGAAGAGCAGAGGACTGGGGTCCCAGTGGCTGTCTACCCCTCTGCAGGCCACAAGTGGCCCCACTGAAGAAACTGTTCCCACTGACTCCCGCCAAGGTCTCCAGTGCCCTCCATGCCCATAAGCCCACAGGGCAACTTCCTGCCGGCTCATTCCACTGGCCCGAGTGAGAATCCTGCTGGGCAGCACACAGCTGCTGGGTGCAGGCAGAGCCGTGGCAGCAGGGCGCAGCTCAGACGCCAGGCACTAACGGGCAGGGAGGGAGGACGCCGATCTTGCACTGGCCACTTGGAGGCCTTGAGCCAGGTGCTGAGCTCAGCAGCCCCCGGCTTTTGCTCAGGATGACAGGCCTGCCCTCTGGCGCCTTGTCTAGCTCATATAGCCTTCCCACACTGGGCTCGAAACCAGCCCCAAACCCTCAACCAGCCTGCCTCTGTCCCCCAGCCTCTGTCCCCTGCCTGCTTCTGTCCCCTAGCCTCTATCTCCCTGGTGACAAGGGTGACAAGGCCACACAGACTTAAGGGACGCCGAGGGACAGTAACACAGAGGGGACACGGAGCCCGCCTCCTGTCCACCAAGCGGGAGCCTTCTCTGCATCGTGATGCTGCCTGCCAGCCCACGGAGTGGGTGCTATTATGGGACTATGCACTGCTGGGGTCCCCTTGGATTTGATGGGCTAATTCACACTCCAGTGTGAATGACTCACAGGGCGTCCTCCTACACAGCAGAGAGCAGCTGGGAGTGGGCACAGCGCACCCCAGTGGGGCGTCTCAGGCGCTGGGGGGTGAGAACCATGTCTCTGCAGGTGGGGCCTCTCGGCTTGGCCTTCGAGGCCCTTCCCAGGCTGGCTTCCGCCTGTGCTCCTGGAATCGGTCCCCTGTTCCATCTCCATCGTGAACCCCAGCCTCCTTCGCCCCACGTGTCACCTATTGGCAGTGCCCACCTCCTACCCTAGACCCAAACCGGCATGACCATGTCGTCTGGGAAGCCTGCCCCGTGCCCAGGCTTCCTGCCTGCGTCTTCCCACAAGCTCCTAGGTACTGAGGCCGGTCCTGCCGCCGGCCCTGCCTGCTGCTGTGTGGGCGCGCCTCTCCTGCTTCCCCTGCGTGGCCCCGGACAAGTGTGCACAGGCCAGTGTGGAGGACCTACTGATGCCCTGGCTGGGTGCACCGTGCATTACACGCGCCCCTGCAGGCCCCTGGCCGCTCCAGCCTCAGCCTTCAGGGCTCTGTAGGCCTCAGCCTCCTCCAGAAAGTCTCTCTGGCTCCCTCCACTCGCTGCTGCCAGTCTGTAAGAACCCCAAGGCCTGATCCGCTCCAGCCCCTTAGGTTCAGCTCTGGGCGGTACCAGTGGCAGGAGGGGCCTTTGCTCCGTGCCTCCAACCCCAGGGCTTGGGTCTGTGTCTCAGCTGCCGTGTGAGGCCCAGACGCTCGTCCTGCCTGTGGGGTGGTGCTGTCTGAGCCTCTCAGCACCGCGGGTCTGTGGCCAGGGTCACCTCCTGTCCCCACCACGCAAGATGCCAATCTCACTTGTGCCTGGCGCCAGCTGCTCCCAGTCTGACCTTCCAGGCACAGGTAGCCCCACCCCTGAAGCCTGCAGCTCCTCCCCCACTCCCACCCCCATCCCAGGCATGGCCCAGAGGTACACAGATGTCTGTCAGGCAAAGAGGGGGTTCTGGAGTGACTCTGCCTTCGTAGCCCAGAAAGAATGAGCTGGCCTGGGTGCTGGGGCTCTGCCAGCCTCACATCACCTGACTGTACCCCCTGCTCAGGAGCCAGCACCGAGGACACCTGCCCTGAGCCCTCGCCCCTCATGCAGGTCCTCGCCCACATACCTAGAGCCCTTGTCCACCTGGCCTGCCACCACCCGGCCGAGAGCCACACCAGATGCCCTCAAACCAGGCTTTCTGACTGTCTGGTGGAGCTGAAGCCAGTGTGCTGCTCAACACTCAGCAGCTGCCTTCCCTGCTCTAGCAGG